CATTTACTTTAGGGAACACGCGGGAAATTGTATTTTTTCCTTTTGTTTTTCTATCAGATTTTTTTCAAGTTGCAATCGCGCAAACTGGCATTTCGATAATAGTTTAAAATTCTTGTAAATTCACTGCAGAAACTGAGGAAAGTCATTATATAAAATAACAAATGTCTTAGAATATCTCGCAAAAAGAAATGCTCCAATATTTTAGTAAGAGCTAGTAAGGCCGAAAGCTCCGTTCTTGAAGTAAAGGTGCGAGCTTTGCGCCAAAGTGACGTCACTAGAGAAAATCGGAGGATTGGCGCGGCAAGAGCTACTTCAAAGGAGTGAACCAGCCCTTCTATTCTCTTTAGCCCTGAAGTTTATGAAGTAATGTGTAGATGAAATGAACGCGAGCCACATGAATGCATGCAGGAAAGTAAGTCCCTTCCTGTAAGTCCTGTATTGCATTAATGTTTTTTTTTTTTTTTTCGATTTCAAATTAAATTTAATTCTTGAATTTTTATAAATGTATTTCAAGACATATTTTGGGCTTACGCTGCATTAGCGCTTTCCCATTTGGAATTGGATTTTGTTATTATACATATTCATTTAATTTCATATTTGGAATTTTATTGGATGTACTTTTAAAGGTTAATAATTTGTTTATTTTTTTCAAACCATGTGATAATTTTTAAAAATATTGCCTTATTTTTCAGTCTTTATGATGTTGAAGCAGTTCTGATTGCTGTTGGAATCTGCACTGTAAGTATAATAAACATTTGGTCCTTTTTACATCCTTTGGATATCTGTGTTTTTTTTTTTTTTTTTGGACGAGAATTTCTGAATGTCGATAATGAGAATGTTATATTGCTCACCTGTCTAAATTCTTTCTAATTTCTAATACTTGCAATGCTTTTAGCACCTAGGCATCATTGAAAGCCTAGGCATTTATTAAAAAACTAGAAATTTATTAAAAAGTTTGAAATGTCATAAAATGTGCATCAAAAATTTGTCAATTAAAGATGAAATATAAAAAGCTTTAACCATATTACTACTTACTAATTTCCCTTAACTATACTAATAATTAGAGCTTTATCAAAATATTAAAAATTATTTCTTAAAAGAATAATAGGTTTAAATTAGTTGATGAGATGAGTTATAAAAATAATAAAATGTTCTAAAAGTAGTCTTTCAAAAAAAAGTTTTTTTAAAACCAGCCACAAAATTTAGAAGTACTTGTTTAAATTATAATGTAATTTATTTAACTAATTAATTATAATTAATAATTTTATGTAATTAATTAATTATAAAAATAATAAAATGTTCTAAAAGTAGTCTTTCAAAAAAGTTATTTTAAAACCAGCCGCAAAATTTAGGAATACTTGTTTAAAATTATATTATTTATTTAGCTAATTAATTTTAACATTTCAACAAAATGCTTAGAGGAAATCTAGTCTATGAAAAAAATAATAATAATAATAAAATACATATTAAAAAACGATGATCTCGGGGTTCAATTCATTACAAAACACAGTCAACAGAAAATATATTTAATATCAAAAAAGAAATGATGTTAATGCTACAGTATCAGAGAGGATTCTGAATATCTTTTACTTTTACAATACTGCGTAGAGCGCCATCTGTAAGAATGAGAAATAATAATATTATTAACAATATACTACAGTCGAACTCGTTTATAACGAGCTCGGATTTAACGAGAACTCGGATTTAACGAGGGAAACGAGAATATTTGGTTGGATCAATGTTAAGTCTATGGAACAGAAGTCGCTTTTAACGAGCAAGACCCGGTTTTAGCGAGCAATATTTTTCTGTCTTGCAATCTTTTTTCTCATCTTTCTAGTCTTTCTGTCTTATCTTTTTTTCAAAATGATATGAAATGCGCGAGTTAAAAGTAAGCTGACAAACTATTTTAAATATGTAGATTAATGAAAAAAATAAATGTTTTGGTAAGAATCTTTTCCTTTATTTTTCTTTCCGTTTATATTTCCTTTCCTTTAAGACTGTAGCGCAACTAGAAATTTTTTGCTGGTTTGGGGGGAGGGGTTAGTTGTCACTAAATTAAGATAAATATTTAATTAAATT